TGAAGTCCCACAATCACCTGCCCAGTGTGAAGTCCCACAATCACCTGTCCAGTGTGAAGTCCTACAGTCACCTGCCCAGTGTGAAGTCCAACAATCACCTGTCCAGTGTGAAGTCCCACAGTCACCTGCCCAGTGTGTAGTCCCACACGCCCCTGCCCAGTGTGAAGTCCCACAATCACCTGCCCAGTGTGAAGTCCCACAGTCACCTGCCAAGTGTGAAGTCCTACAGTCACATGCCCAGTGTGAAGTCCCACAGTCACCTGCCCAGTTTGAAGCCCCACAGTCACCTGTCCAGTGTGAAGTCCCACAATCACCTGCCCAGTGTGAAGTCCTACAGTCACCTGCCCAGTGTGAAGTCCCACAATCACCTGTCCAGTGTGAAGTCTCACAGTCACCTGCCCAGTGTGAAGTCCTACAGTCACCTGCACAGTGTGTAGTCTCACAGTCACCTGCCCAGTGTGAAGTCCCACAATGACCTGCCAAGTGTGAAGTCCTACAGTCACCTGTCCAGTGTGAAGTCCCACAGTGACCTGCCCATTTAGAAGTCCAACACGCCCATGCCCAGTGTGAAGTCCCACAGTCACCTGTCCAGTGTGAAGTCCCACAGTCACCTGCCCAGTGTGAAGTCCCACAATCACCTGCCCAGTGTGAAGTCCTACAGTGACCTGTCCAGTGTGAAGTCCCACAGTCACCTGCCCAGTGTGAAGTCCCACAGTCACCTGTCCAGTGTGAAGTCCCACAATCACCTGCCCAGTGTGAAGTCCCACAATCACCTGCCCAGTGTGAAGTCCCACAGTGACCTGTCCAGTGTGAAGTCCCACAATCACCTGCCCAGTGTGAAGTCCCACAATCACCTGCCCAGTGTGAAGTCCCACAATCACCTGCCCAGTGTGAAGTCCCACAGTGACCTGCCCAGTGTGAAGTCCCACAATCACCTGCCCAGTGTGAAGTCCCACAATCACCTGCCCAGTGTGAAGTCCCACAGTCACCTGTCCAGTGTGAAGTCCCACAGTCACCTGCCCAGTGTGAAGTCCCACAGTCACCTGTCCAGTGTGAAGTCCCACAATCACCTGCCCAGTGTGAAGTCCCACAGTCACCTGTCCAGTGTGAAGTCCCACAGTGACCTGCCCATTTAGAAGTCCAACACGCCCATGCCCAGTGTGAAGTCCCACAGTCACCTGTCCAGTGTGAAGTCCCACAATCACCTGCCCAGTGTGAAGTCCCACAATCACCTGCCCAGTGTGAAGTCCTACAGTCACCTGTCCAGGGTGAAGTCCCACAATCACCTGCCCAGTGTGAAGTCCCACAATCACCTGTCCAGTGTGAAGTCCTACAGTCACCTGCCAAGTGTGAAGTCCCACACGCCCCTGCCAAGTGTGAAGTCCCACAGTCACCTGCCCAGTGTGAAGTCGCACAGTCACCTGCCCAGTGTGAAGTCCCACAGTCACCTGTCCAGTGTGAAGTCGCACAGTCACCTGCCCAGTGTGAAGTCGCACAATCACCTGTCCAGTGTGAAGTCCCACAGTCACCTGCCCAGTGTGAAGTCGCACAGTCACCTGCCCAGTGTGAAGTCCCACACTGACCTGCCCAGTGTGAAGTCCCACAGTGACCTGCCCAGTGTGAAGTCCCACAATCACCTGCCCAGTGTGAAGTCCCACAATCACCTGCCCAGTGTGAAGTCCCACAGTCACCTGCCCAGTGTGAAGTTCTACAGTCACCTGCCCAGTGTGAAGTCCCACACGCCCCTGCCCAGTGTGAAGTCCAACACGCCCCTGTCCAGTGTGAAATCCCAAAGTCATCTGCCCAGTGTGAAGTTCCACAGTCACCTGCCCAGTGTGAAGTCCCACAGTGACCTGCGCAGTGTGAAGTCCCACAATCACGTGCCCAGTTTGAAGTCCCACAATCACCTGTCCAGTGTGAAGTCCCACACGCCCCTGCCCAGTGTGAATTCTGAACTTTTCACTAATGACATCTTCATGGTTTCTCGTTTGTATTGAGGAAAATGAATTATTATTGCGTGAGCGTTAGCGCTGAGTAAAAACAGGATATAAATATATATCGATAGATAAATAGTTATACCGGATAGCGCGTGTTCGTGAAATCGGATATGGTAGGATACTGTCAACACACGCCTACAACTAGATTCCTGATGTCAGGATGTTGTTGTGCACGAACAGGGATGCACATCATGAGGGTCTTTTCAAGAATGATATTAACTAGTAGGATGTTTTCTTTCAGGATGTATAAACTAAATAGTCTAGAAGGTTTGAGGAGTTCGGCTGTACCTATTTTCCATGACGCGAGATCCTGTAAAGAGTGAGTGAGTTTAATTTAACGCCGCTTTTAGCAATATTCCAGCAATACACCAGAAATGGGCTTCACACATTGTACCCATGTCGGGAATCGAACCCGGGTCTGTGACGTGACGAGCGAACGCTTTAACCACTAGGCTACCCGACCGCCCCTAGATCATGTAAAGAATAAAGGATGAATGAAACACGATAACATCATTAAATTCTTTAATATCTGACAAATTATTGTTTAGAGTTTGTTTCTGAATGAGATTTCCTCTTCCAGCCATACTCACGAACAAAATTGATGCTGAATGGACAGCTACCGGTCATTTCTTTATAAAATGTCAAAACTTCCTTTCGTTGACCACTAAAGTTTCAACCAATTTGGATAAGTGAGCAACAATGTTTTGAATTATTGCTCCATTTCGAAATACACATTTAACTATGTTTAACGTTACACCGTTCTCTTTCACAACACGGGGGCATGGGTGGCCCAGTCGTCTAAGGCGCCGCGATTCGCTGTGCAGAGTTGCGGCCCTTGAGCACGCCAGAAACCTATGATTGTGGGTTCGAATCCCTGTTCGCCCCAATTATGTTTCTGGGTTTGTCAGCACCATACCCGTGCTCATGGGTTTCACCGAAGGGGTAAACGTCTGAGACCTGCATCACTTCGGGCTTTCTTCCCACATTAAGCTGACACCCCGCAATATAACTGGAATAATGTTAAAAGCGGCGTAAAACCCAACTCACTCACACTCACAATTTCACAACCCGTGTCACAAGCTCCTTCCCAGCGCGTGACACCTACGTTACACTCCCGGTAACATTGCCGCCGTCATGGTTGACGCGATCATTACAAGAAATTTGAAATTTGCCCTCTAACAGCAAATGAAGTAACGTTTATACCTTTCTTTATGAATGTCTTTGTGAATGCCATCATGGAGGATTTTGAAAAGGTTTACGACTGACCAGATTTCTCAGTTTCCCTCGTGGATTGTTTGATCAAATTGGTTCGAGATTGCAGAACTGAAAATCACCCAACTTCCCCCTTACTTTCTTACAAAACCAGAAACATGGTAGTTGAAATGAAATAGAAATTCAAACTGACAAACAAAGAAAAAAGTTAATCTGGGGTAAGAGTATTCATCGTCAAGACAGTCATCCAACATTATTCCAGTTATATCTAGAAACAGTGTGAAGTCCTACATTCACCTGCCTAGTATGAAGTTCCACACGCCCCTGCCCAGTGTGAAGTCCCACACGCCCCTGTTCAGTATGACGTCCCACACGCCCCTGTCTAGTATGAAGTCCTACAATCACCTGACTAGTGTGAAGTCCCAAACGTCTCTGTCCAGTATGAAGTCCAACATGCCCCTGCCCAGTATGAAGTCCCAAACGTCTCTGTCCAGTATGAAGTTCCACACGCCCCTGTCCAGTATGAAGTCCCACACGCCTCTGTCCAATATGAAGTCCAACATGCCCCTGTCCAGTATGAAGTCCCAAACGTCTCTGTCCAGTATGAAGTTCCACACGCCCCTGTCCAGTATGAAGTCCCACACGCCCCTGCCCAGTGTGAAGTCCCACACACCCCTGTCCAGTATGAAGTCCCACACACCCCTGTCCAGTGTGAAGTCCCACACACCCCTGTCCAGTGTGAAGTCCCACACGCCCCTGCCCAGTGTGAAGTCCCACACGCCCCTGCCCAGTGTGAAGTCCCACACACCCCTGTCCAGTGTGAAGTCCCACACACCCCTGTCCAGTGTGAAGTCCCACACGCCCCTGCCCAGTGTGAAGTCCCACACACCCCTGTCCAGTATGAAGTCCCACACACCCCTGTCCAGTATGAAGTCCCACACGCCCCTGCCCAGTATGAAGTCCCACAGTCACTTGTCCAGTATGAAGTCCCACACGCCCCTGTCCAGTGTGAAGTCCCACACGCCTCTGCCCAGTGTGAAGTTCCACAGTCACTTGTCCAGTATGAAGTCCCACACGCCCCTGTCCAGTATGAAGTCCCACACACCCCTGTCCAGTATGAAGTCCCACACACCCCTGTCCAGTATGAAGTCCCACACGCCTCTGTCCAGTATGAAGTCCCACACGCCCCTGTCCAGTATGAAGTCCCACACGCCCCTGTCCAGTATGAAGTCCCACACGCCCCTGTCAAGTATGAAGTCCCACACACCCCTGTCCAGTATGAAGTCCCACACGCCTCTGTCCAGTATGAAGTCCCACACACCCCTGTCCAGTATGAAGTCCCACACACCCCTGTCCAGTATGAAGTCCCACACGCCCCTGTCCAGTATGAAGTCCCACACGCCCCTGTTCAGTATGAAGTCCCACACACCCCTGCCCAGTATGAAGTCCCACACGCCCCTGTCAAGTATGAAGTCACACACGCCTCTGTCCAGTATGAAGTCCCACACGCCCCTGTCAAGTATGAAGTCACACACGCCTCTGTCCAGTATGAAGTCACACACACCCCTGCCCAGTTCGAAGTCCCACATGCCCCTGTCCAGTATGAAGTCCCACAGTCACCTGCCCAGTGTGAAGTCCCACACGCCCCTGTCCAGTATGAAGTCCCACACGCCTCTGTCCAGTATGAAGTCCCACACGCCCCTGTTCAGTATGAAGTCCCACAGTCACCTGCCCAGTGTGAAGTCCCACACGCCCCTGTCCAGTGTGAAGTCCCACACGCCTCTGTTCAGTATGAAGTCCCACACGCCCCTGTCCAGTGTGAAGTCCCACACGCCTCTGCCCAGTGTGAAGTTCCACAGTCACTTGTCCAGTATGAAGTCCCACACGACCCTGTCCAGTATGAAGTCCCACACGACCCTGTCCAGTAGGAAGTCCCACACGCCCCTGTCCAGTATGAAGTCCCACACGCCTCTGTCAAGTTTGAAGTCCCACACGCCTCTGTCCAGTATGAAGTCCCACACGACCCTGTCCAGTATGAAGTCCCACACGCCCCTGTCCAGTATGAAGTCCCACACGCCTCTGTCCAGTATGAAGTCCCACACGCCTCTGTCCAGTATGAAGTCCCACACGCCCCTGTCCAGTATGAAGTCCCACACGCCTCTGTCCAGTATGAAGTCCCACACGCCTCTGTCCAGTATGAAGTCCCACACGCCCCTGTCCAGTATGAAGTCCCACACGCCCCTGTCCAGTATGAAGTCCCACACGCCTCTGTCCAGTTTGAAGTCCCACACGCCTCTGTCCAGTATGAAGTCCCACACGACCCTGTCAAGTATGAAGTCCCACACGCCCCTGTCCAGTTTGAAGTCCCACACGCCTCCGTCCAGTATGAATTTTTTTTTTTTTAAGTCCCACACGACCCTGTCCAGTATGAAGTCCCACACGCCCCTGTCCAGTATGAAGTCCCACACGCCTCTGTCCAGTTTGAAGTCCCACACGCCTCTGTCCAGTATGAAGTCCCACACGACCCTGTCAAGTATGAAGTCCTACATGCTCCTGTCCAGTATGGAGTCCCACACGCCTCTGTCCAGTATGAAGTCCCACAAGCCCCTGTCCAGTATGAAGTCCCACAGTCACCAGCCCAATATGGAGTCCCACACGCCTCTGTCCAGTATGAAGTCCCACACGCCTCTGTCCAGTATAAAGTCCCACACGACCCTGTCCAGTATGAAGTCCCACACGCCCCTGTCCAGTAGGAAGTCCCACACGCCTCTGTCCAGTAGGAAGTCCCACACGCCCCTGTCCAGTATGAAGGCCCACACACCCCTGTCCAGTATGAAGGCCCACACACCCCTGTCCAGTATGAAGGCCCACACACCCCTGTCCAGTATGAAGGCCCACACACCCCTGTCCAGTATGAAGGCCCACACACCCCTGTCCAGTATGAAGGCCCACACACCCCTGTCCAGTATGAAGGCCCACACACCCCTGTCCAGTATGAAGGCCCACACACCCCTGTCCAGTATGAAGGCCCACACACCCCTGTCCAGTATGAAGGCCCACACACCCCTGTCCAGTATGAAGCCCCACACGCCCCTGTCCAGTATGAAGGCCCACACACCCCTGTCCACTTTGAAATCCCACACACCCCTGTCCAGTATGAAGTCCCACACACCCCTGTCCAGTATGAAGCCCCACACGCCCCTGTCCAGTATGAAGGCCCACACACCCCTGTCCAGTATGAAGGCCCACACACCCCTGTCCAGTATGAAGCCCCACACGCCCCTGTCCAGTATGAAGGCCCACACACCCCTGTCCAGTATGAAGCCCCACACGCCCCTGTCCAGTATGAAGGCCCACACACCCCTGTCCAGTATGAAGGCCCACACACCCCTGTCCAGTATGAAGCCCCACACGCCTCTGTCCACTTTGAAGTCCCACACACCCCTGTCCAGTATGTCAACACGTCCTACTCAGTGAGAACATTCAAACATTCAATTAAAATATTACAATTTGTTATTTTCTCCAGTGTGAAAGAGTTTCCTGAAGTTGAGAAACGTGATATTTTCATTGCAGTGGACATTACACTCTGCTCCATAACACCATACAAGTGTTAAGTGTCTGTCCCTCATACACAAACTGTTGACTTTTTTACGTTAGTTCTAAACTGACAAGGCAAAATAATGACAGATGGTCACTTATGGAGTTAATATCGCTTCTTGCCGTTTGTAAATTTCTCATTTAACTCGGCAATCGAGACTGTTCGTTTCGCAAAGTGCCATTTTTGTTACTTCACCAGCGGGAATTACTTCGCTTCCAACAGCGGCTTCGTGCTTTTCAAAATATTTTGTTAAAGTTGATTTTGTATTGTAAAATATTTGAGCGACCTCAAATATATTTCTTTTGTTTATATTTTTTAAAGATTCTGCAAACTCGGAACTACTTTTTAAGTCGTAATTACAAAGGGTGGTGAAACGCCTCTGCCCTTAGATAGGGAGAATTTACGTTTGAATGTGTTACATTTGTAATTGTTGTTTCTCTCAACGCGTGGCGTGAGATGAGAGACACGCCACTCGACAAAATGTTTCCTTTCCCCACTTCACATGTTTCCGGAGGTACATTATCTATCCTCTATGACTTCTTCCCTTTAGAGGGGAGGTCGAGCAGCCAAGTGGTTAAATCGTTCGCTCGTCACGCCTAAGACCCGGGTTCGATTCCCGACATGGGTACAAAGTGTGAAGCCCAATTTTGGTGTCCCCTGCCGTGATATTGCTAGAATATTGCTAAAAACGGCTTAAAACCATACTCACTCACTCACACTTCCCTTAAGAAACCCGTGAAGATATGGGGTAGAATAGATCTTCAGCAACCATGCTTGTCGTAAGAGGCGACTAACGGGATTGGGTGGTCAGGCTCGCTGACTTGGTTGATGCATGTCATCGTGTCCCAATTGTGTGAATCGATGCTCATGATGTCAATCACTGGATTGTCTGGTCCATACTCGATTATTTACAGACCGCCGTCATATGACTGGAATATGGCTGAGTGCGGCAACAACAAACAAACAAATCCAAATGCAAGATTTTATTTTCTAGGATGTAACATTCTCGATAAATAGTACTAAAGTCTGATAACTGATGAAGGATGATTCATTTCCCGCTGCCGCACTACATCCCACGAAGGTCCGGGTGTGTGGAGCTGTATAAAGTGGCGGCAACCCTTGCACAGCACATTCCCGCCATTTCCAAGCAGGAAGTGACAGTCGAGCTTGAAGCTTAACCCTGGTGTTAGGTAAGTGCTAGTCTTACAATTGTATTTTGTAATTTAGCATATTTTTCTGGCATGAAAAGGTCAAATAGATTAGACAAATGTTGTCCAGCTTAAAATGCCCTTTCCATAAACATGTATACATGCAGTAGACAATGGGGCCAATATCAGTGAGTGAGTTGGGTTTAACGCCGCTTTTAACATTATTCCAGTTATATCGCGGCGTGTCAGTTTAATGTGGGAGGAAAGCCCAAAGTGATGCGGGTCTCAGACGTTTACCACTTCGGTGAAACCCACGAGCACGGGTATGGTGCTGACAAACCTAGAAACATAATCGGGGCGAACCGGGATTCGAACCCTCTATCATAGGTTTCTGGCGTGCCCAAGGGACGCATCTCTGCACAGCGAATCGTGGCGCCTTAGACGGCTGGGTCACCCGTGCCCCCAGGGCCAATATTAAACTTCCATGGAAATAGTAACATTAATATTTAAAAAAATGAACTATAACTGTGATAAATGTTATATACCAATCATCTGGAATGTTATGAATAACAGTACGAGATGTCAGTTAGAAAGGTTGTTGATAAAATCGCATTGTTGACACACAAAAACCTGTTTCATTGGCATTACGTGAGTGAGTGAGTTGGGTTTAACGCCGCTTTTAACAGTATTCCAGTTATATCGCGGCGTGTCAGTTTAATGTGGGAGGAAAGCCCAAAGTGATGCAGGTCTCAGACGTTTACCACTTCGGTGAAACCCACGAGCACGGGTATGGTGCTGACAAACCTAGAAACATAATCGGGGCGAACCGGGACTCGCACCCACAATCATAGGTTTCTGGCGTGCCCAAGGGACGCAACTCTGCACAACGAATTGCGTCGCCTTAGACGACTGGGCCACCCGTACCCGTTTTTCCCGCAGATACCATTTTGATATTCTTACAATATATTGCGTTTAATTGCGTATTGCTGTAACTGACGTTTTCTATTTGAAGATCCTGTGCGTCCTGTCTCTTTTGTTAATGTTACGCACTGTTTGAAAAGTTTGATAGCAGATAGGCTATTTTATAAGCATAGTCTCCTAATTCATATATATCACCAGTATCGCCCATGTGCCTCAATACAAGACGTGTCATGAATGGAATCTGGTCACTTGCAGGCAGAAAAACATTCCTAAATTGGCTTTGTATGGATTGCTTAAAGTCGTCAGATGTGACGTTTTGTTATTCTCAGTTCGGAGAGTTCTGCAAACGTTTTGGGAGTTTAAATTGATGGTGGAGTTCAGGTTGATATGCTCATGAAATGCCGCAGAGAGGAGAGGCCTGTTGCTTTTCTATCCTAGGGACTGCCGGAGGTTACAAGTATTTCTCAAAAATAAGGTCGTCTCGGAATTCCCCGGGTAAATCCCTAGAAATAGTCAAAACACGAGTTTAACACTAGTTTCTAGTACCACTGAGGTAACACCCTAAATATGTCGAAATGTATTTGCAATTTGGGGAAATATTCCGCACTTCGGCCAGCTTTCTTTTTTTAACACCCTGTCTGCTATTTTCTCCGGCGGGTATTGATATTTCGACCAAGGATCTGTTCTTTCCGCAGATACCATACTGTAAGGGGTTTTCGCCACTGGTCTTGAAGTATGAGGGGTTAATGCTAGACAGTTAGAAATCAACGCAACATTTACTATTTATATAACTTCAAATGACTATAAAGTCATTAATTTCGTGGTTAGTGTATTTTAGTGACACTGTCGAATGCACATTTCTAAGAGCTTTCCATATGTCTAAAACACATAGGGGCGGCCGGGTAGCCTAGTGGTTAAAGCGTTCGTTGTGGAATATTGCTAAAAGCGGCGTAAAACCATACTCACTCACTCACTCTAAAACACATAGCATGGTTTTCAAAGAGGGTCACGTGTCCAGTCCCTAAAGCGTTATGGTCGGAAATGACGGTTACTTTTGTATGGAGACTAGATATCTATTTCAGCCATATATATTGCTTAGTCCCGTCCAGGATTCGAACCCACACTGTCAGATTGAGGCACCTAATCGCCAGCACCCAATGTCAGCGATCTAACCCATTCAGCCACCGAGGCTTCCTCAAAATGAAAGTCCGACGACTGGTAGTCTAGATCACGTACTTTGTGCACCCCTCAGACAAGAGTTAATTCGTACGGCTTCCATGACCGAAAGTTGCCACTCAATGCCATTTACAAAGCGGTCAAACGTAACAAGTGCTATATTTGGGAAAACACTTTCGAATCCCGGACGGGACTAAACCCTAAAAAGTACGAGAATCTGTTAGTTAAGAAGAAAATGTTAAGCAAATATAACACTTGTTAAATTTTAATCCGGTTTTCCAGGAAAAGTTTCAAGCAACACAGAAACAATGCAGCGTGTGTTTGGAGTGATGATGCTCACTGCCCAGTTGTTGACCCTGGGACGCACTCAAGGTAAGAGAAACAGTATTTGATGGCTACATTGACAGACACACATCACCGCCACACACGACACCAACAGACACACATCACCGCCACACACCACAGTGACAGACACATATCACAGCCACACACCACACTGACAGACGCACTCAAGGTAAGAGAAACAGTATTTGATGGCTACATTGACAGACACACATCACCGCCACACACGACACCAACAGACACACATCACTGCCACACACCACATTGACAGACACACATCACCGCCACACACGACACCAACAGACACACACCACTGCCACACACCTCACTAGCAGACACACCTCACCACCACACACCACACTAAGAGGCACACATCACCGCCACACACCACACTGACAGACACACCTCACCACCACACACCTCACTAAGAGGCACACATCACCGCCACACACCACACTGACAGACACACCTCACCGCCACACACCACACTAACAGACACACCTCACCGCCACACACAACACTGACAGACACACCTCACCGCCACACACAACACTAACAGACACACCTCACCGCCACACACCACACTGACAGACAAACCTCACCGCCACACACAACGCTAACAGACACACCTCACCGCCACACACAACACTAACAGACACACATCACCGCCACACACCACACTGACAGACACACCTCACCGCCACACACAACACTAACAGACACATATCACAGCCACACACCACACTGACAGACACACATCACCACCACTAACCACTGTAACAGACGCACATCAACGCCACACAAAACACTAACAGACACACATCACCGCCACACACCACACTGACAGACACACATCACCACCACTAACATCACTGACAGACACACATCACCGCCACACACCACACTGACAGAAACACCTCACCGCCAAACACCACACTGACAGACACACCTCAACGCTTCACACCATACTTAGAGACACACCCCACCACACACCATATTGACAGACACACATCACCACCACTAACCACATTTACAGACACACTTCGCCACCACACACCATATTGACAGACACGCATCACCACCACACACCACACCAACAGACACACATCACCACCACTAACCACATTTACAGACACACTTCGCCACCACACACCATATTGACAGACACGCCTCACCGCCACACACCACACTGACAGACACACATCACCGCAACACACCACACTGACAGACACACATCACCGCCACACACAACATTGACAGACACGCCACACCGCCACACACAACCCTAACAGACACACCTTACCACCACACACCACACTGACAGACACACCTCACCGCCACACACCACACTCACAGACACACATCACCGCCACACACAACACTAACAGACACACATCACCGCCACACACCACACTGACAGACACACATTACCACAACACACCACACTGACAGACACACCTCACCGCCACACACCATATTGACAGACACACATCATTACCACACACCATACTGACAGACACACCTCACCGCCGCATACCACACTGACAGATACACATCACCGCCACACCCCACACTAATAGACACACCTCACCGCCACACACAACACTAATAGACACACATTACCACAACACACCACACTGACAGACACGCCTCACCGCCACACACCATATTGACAGACACGCCTCACCGCCACACACTACACTGACAGACACACTTCACCACAACACACCATACAAATAGACACACCTCACCGCCACACACAACACTAATAGACACACATTACCACAACACACCACGCTGACAGACACACCTCACCGCCACACACCACACTGACAGACACGCCTCACCGCCACACACAACACTAACAGACACACATCACCGCCACACAAAACCCTAACAGACACACCTCACCACCACACACAACGCTAACAGACACACCTCACCACCACACACAACGCTAACAGACACACCTCACCACCACACACAACGCTAACAGACACACCTCACCACCACACACAACGCTAACAGACACACCTCACCACCACACACCACACTGACAGACACACATCACCGCCACAAACCCTATTACAGACACACCTCACCGCCACACACAATTTAACAGACACACCTCACCACCACACACAACGCTAACAGACACACCTCACCACCACACACAACGCTAACAGACACACCTCACAACCACACACAACGCTAACAGACACACCTCACCACCACACACAACGCTAACAGACACACCTCACCACCACACACCACACTGACAGACACACATCACCACCACACACAACGCTAACAGACACACCTCACCACCACACACAACGCTAACAGACACACCTCACCACCACACACAACGCTAACAGACACACCTCACCACCACACACAACGCTAACAGACACACATCACCACCACACACAACGCTAACAGACACACCTCACCACCACACACAACGCTAACAGACACACCTCACCACCCCACACAACGCTAACAGACACACCTCACCACCACACACCACACTGACAGACACACATCACCACCACACACAACGCTAACAGACACACCTCACCACCACACACAACGCTAACAGACACACCTCACCACCACACACAACGCTAACAGACACACCTCACCACCACACACCACACTGACAGACACACATCACCGCCACAAACCACACTAACAGACACACTTCGCCACCACACACCATATTGACAGACACACCTCACCACCACACACCACACTGACAGGCACACATCAGCGCCACAAACCACACTAACAGACACACCTCACCGCCACACACAATTTAACAGACACACCTCACCGCCACACACAATTTAACAGACACACCTCACCACCACACACAACGCTAACAGACACACCTCACCACCACACACAACGCTAACAGACACACCTTACCACCACACACAACGCTTACAGACACACCTCACCACCACACACAACGCTAACAGACACACCTCACCACCACACACCACACTGACAGACACACATCGCCGCCACAAACCACACTGACAGACACACATCACCGCCACACACCACACTGACAGACGCACATCACCACCACACACAACGCTAACAGACACACCTCACCACCACACACAACGCTAACAGACACACCTCACCACCACACACAACGCTAACAGACACACCTCACCACCACACACCACACTGACAGGCACACATCAGCGCCACAAACCACACTAACAGACACACCTCACCGCCACACACAATTTAACAGACACACCTCACCGCCACACACAATTTAACAGACACACCTCACCACCACACACAACGCTAACAGACACACCTCACCACCACACACAACGCTAACAGACACACCTTACCACCACACACAACGCTTACAGACACACCTCACCACCACACACAACGCTAACAGACACACCTCACCACCACACACCACACTGACAGACACACATCGCCGCCACAAACCACACTGACAGACACACATCACCGCCACACACCACACTGACAGACGCACATCACCACCACACACCACACTAACAGATACACCTCACCGCCACACATCACTCTAACAGACACACCTCACAGCCACACACCACACTGACAGACACACCTCACCGCCACACACAACACTAACAGACACACCTCACCGCCACACACCACACTGACAGACACACCTCACCACCACACTCAACACTGACAGACACCTCACCGCCACACACCATACTTAGAGACACACCTCACCGCCACACACAACGCTAACAGACACACCTTACCACCACAAGCCACACTAACAGACACACCTCACTACCACACACAACACTAACAGACTAACCTCGCCAACACACACAACACTAACAGACACACCTCACCACCACACACAAAACTAACAGACACACCTCACCGCCACACACCACACTGACAGAAACACCTCACCACCACACACAACACTAACAGACACATATCACCGCCACACACCACACTAACGGTCACACCTCACCACGACACACAACGCTAACAGACACACCTCACCACCCCACACAACACTAACAGACACACCTCACTACCACACACCATATTAACACACACACATCATCACACCACACCACACTAACAGACACACATCACAGCTACACACTAACAGACACACATCACACCCACACACTGACAGACACGCATCACAGCTACACACTAACAGACACACATCACAGCTACACACTGGCAGACACGCATCACACCCACACACTGACAGACACGCATCACAGCTACACACTGACAGACACGCATCACAGCTACACACTGACAGACACACATCACAGCTACACACTGATAGACACACATCACAGTTACACACTGACAGACACACATCACACCCACACACTGACAGACACGCATCACACTCACACACTGACAGACACGCATCACAGCTACACACTGACAGACACACATCACCACAACACACTCATAGACACACATCACAGTTACACACTGACAGACACACATCACACCCACACACTGACATACACGCATCACACTCACACACTGACAGACACGCATCACAGCTACACACTGACAGACACACATCACAGTTACACACTGACAGACACACATCACACCCACACACTGACAGACACGCATCACAGCTACACACTAACAGACACACATCACAGCTACACACTGACAGACACACATCACATCTACACACTAATAGGCACTTCACATCACTCATCACTAGACACACAGCACTACCACACACCCATATGAAAAAGAGCAATCGTTAAACGAAATAGGATTTAAAACGTATACTTCTAATACGTCTAGCTATCGTGATACAAATTTCCATCTGTCGGCTAGCGTTAAGTAGATATCACGTTGTAATGTTCATCGTATTGAAGTGAATTTCATGTCCACATTCCCTGAACATAGTCTCACAAGTGTTGGGTCCGGCTTGACCCGGGCTGTCAAAATCAAATTAAACCTCACAGATGTATCATCAAATGTATTTACATCTATAG